TTGAAACAGTTGTTGAAAATTCTAAGAACGTAAAAGACGCCGAAACCACAGTCAAACATCTGTTGCAAAAGAAGAGTATTGAAATGTCTTCGCTGAAAGAGCGTGAGTTCGTTTTGTTTATATTGAACTTCATCAATCCACCTGAAAAGGTCGATTGCAAAGTTTCCAACCCGGGTGTTCTTGTCACGGGCAATGAAATTAAAACAACGGTTCATCGCGAGTTCCACACGGCGACAATTCAAGACAAAGTCAAGGCGTTTGCCGTCAAGATCACTAATCCGGGCCGTTCTGCGTTATGTAATGCGATGTACGTTGGCATGACATTTGCTACCACCGTCATGCCGACTGGTCAGCAGTGGGTCAAGAGTGGGTATTTCATGTCGATGTACAACGGCAATCTGTACTCCGAGAAGGTGACACCCAACTCGAAGAGTCATGTCTATTATAACAAGCGCCTGTCCAACGATGATTCCATTGTCTGTTGGTTCAACAAAGATACGAAAGAGATTGGGTTCATTGTAAATGGTATTCAGCTCGGAGCTGCTTTTACTGGTGTGACACAAACAGATCTTCTTCCCATGCTTGTCATGTACGAAGCAGATGAGTCTTTCCAAGTATCTGCACTCTTTAAATGTGATTGATTTCCACCAAATCTTTCTCGTTTCAAATGATAGTTTAATCTATTATAAATGTAGTATCTCAATATTGAAATTAATTATAAATATAAAAATATCTATTGCTATTTGAAAAAATATAACTATACATAACTTGTAAATTAAACTATATATAATAGTTTTAATTAAAATAGAGAGGATGGAGTTGTGGGAATAGATGTTGATAATCCTCAAACTTCCTTTTCTCAAAAGGCAGAATAGACAACCGAGTTACACTCTCGGATTTAAGGAGATCCATTTTTTCGGGATCCGTTCTGAACAAATTAAGTTCGACAACATTGACGTTTTGGAGGTTAATTAGTTCTGGAATAATTGTTGATATGAAAATGGTTTTAAGAGATTTAGGAAGCTTGAGTTTGATACGCGAGTTAGAAACACCAAGAACAGTCAGGGCCTTGAAGGCCGACAAATCGGCAGATTGCGATGAATTGTCGATGACAAGTTTCGTGATTGACTTTGAGATTGGAATTTCAATCTTGTCAAAACGAGATACAAAAAGTGAGTGAAGCGTAACGAGAGATTTGATAAGCGACTTTTTTACTGTGAAACATTCGGCAGCTCCGATCGAAAGGGAAGTCAAACTAACTTTGCCGATTCCTTTCAAAAAGGTGCTATCGGAGTCGATGCTTAACGACTTTAATGATGAAGGGTAGAACAGTTTATCACACTCTTGAGCCTTGACACAATCATTTAAAGTCAATTTTTGTAATACACTGAATTTGGTGAACGGCATTGAAACCTTCATTTCAATAAGATGCATAGAAGTTAATACAGAGAAGCACTCAGAGTTAATTTGAGTGATTGCATTTGAGTTGATCGAGTGCATCAAAATTTGTTTCAATCTGAGACAGTTCTCAAACTCTACGGGAGTTTTAAATTTGATTTTGAGGGAAGTTACGTCGAGGGGAATTGAAGTGATCGTGTTGGTCAACTCAACTGTTTGCAAAGTTGTTGTGAGAGGAACTTGAATTGTATTTTCTTCAAGCACCTTGACTGTTTCAAGTCCGCGTAATTGTTGAAGATTAATTTCTTCGTCGAAAGTGCTTGGTATGGTAACTGAAGATGGAAAATATTGAGAATTAAACAGTTTGATAGATGTGCTATCCGTTGTTGAAATATTATAACGACAATTATGTGGAATCACGTAGTCTGTTTGTTGTGTTTTGAAATGCAGCGCGTTGAAACAAACGTTTGAGAACTCCCGAAAAACGTCAAGATCTGTGCGAATTCCAAGACTACAATCGAATAAAATGAAAATATTTTTGAAGTTCTTATACAAACGCAAATTTTCAAGTTTCAGAGATGGTTTAAATGTGATGAAAAAAAAGTCGAGTGTTTGTGAAACATTGGGGAAGAGTTGGTCAATTGTGACAGTGTATTGTAAATCAGTGTTTAATTTACACTTCCGCATATTAATAAATTTGGAAAAGTCGAGAGGCGTTAAAAGGAAAACATCCATTTCAATAATTTTTGTAACATCAACAAAGTTGGGTTTAAAGCTGACAGTGCCACACAGTCGAATATATTTAATGTATTTTATTAAATCGATTGTGTCGCTCAATTGTTCCTCCACAACAGTAAGAAACTCGAGATTAGGAAAAAACATGAACAATTTTTTGGAGTAAAGATTACTTACCACGTTGTGTATTTTTGCAATGTTGTCAAACGAGCAAATGGGTTCGATGTGTTCGACACGAAGATATTTTGGGGTTGATGTTATGTGCAAATGGATATTGTGACACTTCTTGTTGACCAACATGAAATTGAGCAAATCAGAAAATGTTAACAAGAATGGAAGGACGACTAACAGTTCTTCTTCGTCCAACACCATCATTAAAATGTAAGGATTTTGTTGTTCCATTTTAAACCAATAGTAATGTATGAATAATAATAATAATAATAATAATAATGGATTGTATTAGGTAAGAAAATTACTATAATAGGTTAACATATTGTATAAGAAACGGGATGTTACAGAAGTTGAAACATAATAATAATAATATAATTTGGAAACTATTATGAAGAAATAGTTTGTAACCAATTTTTTAATAATTAAAAACAATAAAAAATATTAATACATATTATTTATATTTTTAATTGTGAATTTTTAATAAAATATAATTAATTTTTTTTTTATTTTTAGTTTTTGTTTTTTGGTTAATTAATTGCAACGCTGTATTTTATAATTATTTCAACATATCAATTAGTAAATTATTAATTAATTCTTATATTTTTACTATTAAATAATTATTTACTATACATAATAATATAATAATAAAATAGTAACAAACAGCAATTATTAGTTTATTAATCATAATTTAAATTACTACAATAAAACTATTTAAAACCATTTATAAATAATAGCAAAACAATGAACAATCTGTTTCAAGTAACCAACTTTAAAAAGAAAATACTGTTCTAATTTAATAGATGAAAGTAGTCTTTGGTATAGATTTAGGAACAACAAACAGTGCCATTTCTTATTTTGATGTTCAAAAACAGAAGATAGAAGAGATCACAATTGACACAGACCATTTTATGCCAAGTGTAGTACATTACCCTACAGACTCCTCTCAACCAATTCAATGTGGTATAGCCGCCACAAGCGTCACTAAAAACATTCAAAACACAATTCAAGAATCAAAGCGTTATATTGGTCGTAAAGTATCACAAGAAGAACTCCTTTTAGACGTCTCTGCTACTACCAATATTATTCTATCAGACGAAGGGGAAGTGCTTTACCAAATCACACAAGACAAAACAACAAAACAAATTTCTCCAGTAGAAGTTGCTTCGGAGATTCTTAAATACCTCAAAACCGCTGCACTCAAACGCTTAGGATTTGGATGTGATCCATA